ACAACGAATTATATATTTTTTCTCTCGTTCGACGACAATGGCTACTACTCTTACAAAATCCTTACATGCCCCCAAACCTTCACATGCAAAGCCTGAAAGACTCTGACGATGATCACAACTGAAACTGTGATTTCACCACTGACACAATGCTGATTACACGACTACCATCCTCGTGACGATGATCACAACTGCCATGAGCCCCTTCGATGCAGCATTCTTCCCCTTCAAACCAATTTTGTCGTTTGTATTATCGGCCAAGGGACAAAGGCTAGTGTGGAAGGGGGGCAAAGAAGCCAGGAGTAAAGGAATGAAAGAAAATCCAGTAGCAGCACACGGACTTTTTCTTAAGGCATCAAAGCAAACCGGTGCGCCCCCCTCCCTTTGTCTCATTCGAATAATTAGTGCATTTTCAGACTTGTTTCAGACTGTTTCAGAGTGTTTTTTTAAAGGACTTCAACCTCAAGAAACTGACTTCTTCTACTACGACCACTACTTCTTCTTCTACTAGTACTACTAGTACTACTAGTACTACTAGTACTACTAGTACTACTAGTACTACTACTATTACTACTACTACTACTACTAGTACTACTACTACTAGTACTACTACTACTACTACTACTACTACTACTACTAGTACTACTACGACCACCACTGCCACTACTAGTACTACTACTCCTAGTACGACAACTAGTACTACTTCTTCTACTACTACTTCTTCTTCCACTCGTACTACTAGTACGGATACTATTACTAGTGATACTTACGATGCTACGACCACGACGTTTACTACTGAGGCATTGGGTGTAAATGACTACCCGCCTTGACGATGATCAGAACTGAATCTGATTCCACCACTGACGCAAGGCTGATTACACCACTACTACCTTCGTGACGATGATCACAACTGCCACGACGCCCCTTCGATGCAGCATGCTTCCCCTTCAAACCAATTTTTTCGTTTGGATTCTTTCGGCCAAGGGACAAAGGAACATGTGGAAGGGGGGCAAAGAAGCCAGGAGTAAAGGAATGAAAGAAAGCCCAGTAGCAGCACATGGACTTTTTCTTAAGGCATCAAAGCAAACCGGTCGGCCCCCCCCCCGACCTTGTCTCATTCGAATAATTAGTGCATTTTCAGACTTGTTTCAGACTGTTTCAGACTGTTTATTTAAGGGACTTCAACCTCAAGAAACTAACTTCTTCTACTACGACCACTACTTCTTCTTCTACTAGTACTACTAGTACTACTACTACTACTACTACTACTACTACTACTACTAGTACTACTACTACTACTATTACTACTACTACTACTACTACTACTACTACTACGTACTACTACTACTACTACTACTACTACGACTACTACTACGACTACCACTACTAGTACTAGTACTAGCGTTATTTGCATGTGAAAGACAGTTGCACCGACAGTCACAAGCACGATTTCATTGACACACACTGTGAGGAAAATCGAAAATCCAACCTGTCGGAATATACCTCAACAACCTGAGAAGAAAAGCTTATTCAACAGTTCAAGCAGGTACCAGTGGTTGATCAGACCACTCATCCACCGAAATGCCATAGTAGTAGTAGTAGTAGAAGTAGTAGTAGTAGTAGTAGTAGTAGTAGTGGTTGTAGTAGTAGTAGTATTAGTAGTAGTAGTAGTAGTAGTCGTTGCAGTAGTGGTAGCAGTCGAAGTAATGTATTCATTCGGACCCCTTCACGGCATTGAGGGCCCCCTTGAACATACGAGTGCGCTGTCATTTGCGACCAAGGGGCAAAAGGTCGCATGGAAGGGGAAAAAGCAACAAGTCAGAAAGGCATCTACAAGAGGCAAGAGGTCAAACAGACAGACATGGAAATTTGAAGACTGAAACTAGGACAATATTGGTAAAAGCTAGACCCGGGCTGAGATCCTGGAGATGTGGATGTTTCAGACCTGTTTCAGACTGTTTCAGACCCTTTTCTGGCCATGCACAACACTTGACACAATTGGCAGTAAAGAACCAAACAATTCTAAGAGTAGTAGTCGTAGTCGTAGTCGTAGTAGTAGTAGTCGTAGTAGTAGTAGTAGTAGTAGTAGTAGTAGTAGTAGTAGTAGTGGTAGTAGTGGTAGTAGTAGTGGTATTTGCAGTAGCTGTAATGTTTTCTGACCCCTTGAAGGCACTGCGGGCCCCCTGGAACATACTAGTACGCTATCACTTGCGGCCAAGGGGCAAAAGGTAGCATGGAAGGGGAAAAAGCAACAAGTCAGAAAAGGCATCTACAAGAGGCAAGAGGTCAAACAGACACTCATGGAAATTTGAAGACTGAAACTAAGACAATATTGGTCAAAGCTATTGCCAGCAAAGAACCAAACAATTCTACCAGCAGTAGTAGTAGTACTACTAGTAGTAGTAGTAGTAGTAGTAGTAGTAGTAGTAGTAGTAATAACAGTAGTAGTAGTAGTAGTAGTAATAACAGTACAAGTAGCATTCGCAGTAATGTTTTCTGACCCCTGGACGGCATTGCGGGCCCCCTGGAGCATACGACTACGCTGTCATTTGCGGCCAAGGGGCAAAAGGTAGCATGGAAGGGGAAAAAGCAACAAGTCAGAAAGGCATCTACAAGAGGCAAGAGGCCAAACAGACAGACATGGAAATTTGAAGACTGAAGCTAAGACAATATTGGTCAAAGCTATTGCCAGCAAAGAACCAAACAATTCTATCAGCAGTAGTAGTAGTAGTAGTAGTAGTAGTGGTCGTAGTGGTAGTAGTGGTAGTAGTAGTAGTAGTAGTCGTTGCAGTAGTGGTAGCAGTCAAAGTAATGTATTCGGACCCCTTCACGGCATTGAGGGCCCCCTTGAACATACGAGTGCGCTGTCATTTGCGACCAAGGGGCAAAAGGTCGCGTGGAAGGGGAAAAAGCAACAAGTCAGAAAGGCATCTACAAGAGACGAGAGGTGAAACAGACAGACATGGAAATTTGAAGACTGAAACTAGGACAATATTGGTAAAAGCTAGACCCGGGCTGAGATCCTGGAGATGTGGATGTTTCAGACCTGTTTCAGACTGTTTCAGACCCTTTTCTGGCCATGCACAACACTTGACACAATTGGCAGTAAAGAACCAAACAATTCTAAGAGTCGTAGTCGTAGTCGTAGTCGTAGTCGTAGTCGTAGTCGTAGTCGTAGTCGTAGTAGTAGTAGTAGTAGTAGTAGTAGTAGTAGTAGTAGTAGTAGTAGTAGTAGTAGTAGTAGTAGTATCAGTAGTATCAGTAGTATCAGTAGTAGTAGTAGTAGTACTAGTAGTACTAGTAGTACTAGTACTAGTAGTAGTAGTAGTAGTAGTAGTAAGAAGTAGTAGTAGTAGTAGTAGTAGTAGTAGTAGCAGTAGCACGAGCAGTCGCAGCAGCACTAGCAGTAGCAGTAGCGAAAGGAGTGGTAGTAGGGGTAGTAGCAGTCGTAGTGGCAGTAGCAGTAATGTTTTTTGACCCCTTGAGGGCATTGCGGGCCCGCTTATTCAACAGTTCAAGCGGGTACTGCTATAGCTTCGTTGGACTGGATAGGCAAATTGGCTCCAGTAGCCCTGCTTTAGATGAAAATGGAACCATTTGTGATAACGGTGTGCACACACACACACGGATGGAGTCCTCGAAAAGTTCGATTGCTGCTAGGATGCCCCCTAATAAGCTCGACGAGGCGTGTTAATTTATTCTCGGCTCATGTAGTATTGGTTTTCAATAGGCGGAATGGAAAAACAATTAAAAAAAAATGGTCCCGAGCGCCGGCATTCTTTTTATTAGGGGGACCTTTATTAATAGGGGGTCGAGATTATATATATATACATGTATTGACATATATTACCATCCTTATCATATACTGTATATGAAATTTAGACAATTTTATACGTATGTTTAATGTAAATCAGTTCATATTTCATATATATATATACATTTTTAAAATATAGTCATATTCGTATTTAGTATATTATATTATGCTATGTTATATTATGTTATACTGTATTATATTACAATATATATATATATTATATATATATATATATTCATATTGTAGTGTATTATATTGGTGTATTATATTGTATGGTATTATATTGCATTATATTATATGCTATTGTATCATGCTAGATTAGACTACATCATGTTACATTTTATTATATTATCTTATATTATATATCATAGTGTATTCTATCATATTGTACTAGCGTGTAGTATGGTATAGTGTAACATAATGTTTTTTTCCTGTATTATAGTTATTGTATTGTATCTTATTGTGTTTTATTGTATTATACTCTATTATGTTTATATTGCATTCTTTGGTATTACATTGTATTACATCATGTATAGTATATTCTACTATATAGTATTATGGTGAATTATAGTGCCATTATAGCGTATTATAGTGCTTTCTAGTGCATTCTAGGTGTATTCTAGGTGTATTATAGTGTATCATAGTGTATCATAGTGTATTAAAGTGTACTATAGTGTATTATAGTGTATTCTAGTCAATTACAAACATATTTTAGTTTATCATTCTATAGTGTATTGCATTATTTTTGCATCCCCCTTATTCGATACAAAAATCCCGAATTCCTACCCTTTCTTGCTTTGTGCAGCTTCTCTTCTTTCGCACTTTTCTTGTATTTTCGCTTTCCGGCACGAAAACAAGGAAACCAACTTCCGAAAAAAAGTAGACCCCCTTGGGATCCCTTGGGGTATCTTTTCGTAAATACTTTCTGAATCTCACTGAGGTGCACATCCGTTCGTAAAGCTCCTGATCGACTGCAGCGTAGCCATCGGCCCATATCGGCCCAAAACCTTTGCTGGTCGTAGTTGTTGATGTCCTTCAATAAATGGTTATATACTATATATATATTTATACATATCCCCCTAAACTCCTAAACTCATCAAGACTCTTCATGTACCTCAATTTTCATTGGTTCTATATTATATATCATTTCATTGTTCCCTTGTTTAAATCTCCAAACAATCGACCAGCCATGGAAAGTCAGAGCTACTTCCGGCCAGATGTTCTGGAAGGCCCGGTTTTTACGAAGGGAGCAAGATGGGTAGATAACCAACTCAAACCGAATGGCAGTAACTGGTGACTAGGGCTTCAGCATGTTAGACATTAACTGGTGATCAGATTCGTCCCCGGGGTGACATCCCATTCCTTGGGGGCTTGGGACACCCCAGCAAACCCGTCTGCAACGATCACCGAGCCATGTGAATCCATGTTCAGCGTCCAAATCTTTCAAAAGCTCCTTGAAACTTCCAGTTCACTAGATTTTTGATGTTACTCCGCTGTTTCTCGGAATTTTCCAGACATTTTGGGTGGCCAATGCCAGATATGCCCAGATGTTTTGCCGCGGCGCAGGGCGTGTGGCGCTGATCACCGGTGGTGGCAGCGGAATCGGTTTTGAAGTGGCAAAACAGCTGGCCCTCCACGGCTGTAAAGGACTGGGGCGCCATCATTGGGATGGTACGTAATTAGTTGGAATATGTTGGGATTGAATCAGATTGAATCTGATTGACTTGAGATTTCATGCTAGTTTTAATTTACCTTCAATAGGTTGAAATCGATTATGGGAATTATTGACACATTAAAATTCAATGGTATGCTGTTTGTTTAATGGGATCACTTTAACTATTTGTATTGTTTGGGCTTTGATCATCAAAAATAACGCTGAGTTGATAAACGACGGGTTGTTGATTATGAGAGACTATACTACTGGCTTGTTATATAATTGAAGTTATTATTTGTAAGTCATAAATTAGAATCCCGTTCTCAACCAAGCAGTATTCAAGGGATGACAGAGGGTCAATGAAGTTGCATAATGGAAACATGAGATACATATTAATATCATATTTGAATATACTGGGATGTCCGGTAAACCAACAATATATGGGAAAGTAGTGATTGTACATTTCATCATAGTGTGGATTTTTCAGCAAGGATAATTGTGATTGTAGCTGAACCAATCGAGTTTGTCAATTTTTGTCCAATGGGGGATACTCCAGTAGGTCTGTTTCGCAGTTTGGAAGATGATAAACATTGATAAACCATGGGATTTGGAGTAGCATATTTTCAGAACCTGGAACCAGTGGCTTTTGGATAGGGCTAGACCCCAAATCTGAACCCAAGAGCTGCGCCATAGAAAAGCGACCCTAGTTTGCAGCCATCTTAGATTTATGGAGGTGCTAGAACGTTGTATAGAATATGTATGAATGTCAAATATCTTGTTTTTTTTTCAGATGGAGAAGAATATATGTACACTAGTTTGATACCATCGTAAAAGACAACATACTGTGTCATCAATGTTTCATTTTGTAACATCAGCATCATTTTCTTCCTCCACCAACAAAGTAAGTCCCAGGATATTTTTTGTCGCCATTTTCTCGTATCATGTTTCCATACCAGAGAATGTTCTGACGAGCAATGTTTCTTGGTGGTTTTGAATGTTGGATCCTTTGGATGATGGTCCCAATAAACCCATCATTTTTTCGGGGGCAGCCGGGCAGCCACTAACCAGAAATGCTCAATCCATAGGGAAGCTTGAAATGCGATGAAATGCACCCAAGTACGAGGGACATGGGCGAAGCATTACTGTAGGTTGGAAGAACTTCTGCATATGCTCACAGCCTCAACTACTCACAAAGTTGTTGTTTGTCCAATTTGGCAGGCAATTTATGAGTTGAAGGAGGAATAATTAAGCACCAAATAGCTTTCAACAATTGAGAAACTGATGATAAACCATTGGAATTTGGGCTGCATGTATTTTACAGTATTTCTTGCGGGGTACTTGGTCGCTCCTGGTGCTCCAGGTGTCCTCTTGATGGGACGGCGCAAGGCCTTTCTGGAAGAAGCAGTTGAACTTTTGGCCAAGCAAAACATCAGCGCCGCGCACCGTGGTTGATGATTCAACCGGAGGTTGTACAACATGGGGATGATCATAATCATCCATGATGGGAATTCAGAGAATAGTGTGCTCTCCATTCAAGCCACAGTACAGACCGTTTTTGTTGACTCGGGACATCTTTAGACTTGTCTTTAGCCAACACATTCTGATATGTAGGATAAGTATATTTTGAGATGAGAACCTTCACATGTTTGTTTTTATATTTTGGGGGGGACATATTCAGATTTGTGTGTGTTCTATTACTCAGATACTTGGGGGTGCTGATATAGGATCACTTTTTTTTTTCGTTAGCTCAACATGGCTCAGCCACAAGAGAACAACCACTTCACAACTCGGGATCTCCCGGTTTCACCGAATTTTAACAGGCATATGCTGCATATGTTCATGGCCATAGGGCCATATATCCTATATAGAAACATCAAGAAACCCGGTCCGCCGGACCCCATTTTGTGGTTCCATGTATCTCGCTTCTCCAATCTATCTATCTACTTGAATCCCTTAGTTTGAGAGAGTTTGAGTAGATAATAGTGCAACTATCTCATGTTTCAGTAGGGGTTAAATCACCTGGGGGAAGTTGTTTTTCCTGTTTTTGTTTTTTCAATCCTGGTTTCATGGTTAAGTTTCCATTCATATGTTCACATTAACACCACCAAACATCATGAACAACCATTAAAGCAACCATTAAAATGCATTAAAAACCACTAAAAACAACTAAAAACCCGTCGTTTCTAGGTGATTTTCCCATTCAAACGCTATGGTTTTTCAGGTGCTTCGCCGGTGATGTCCGTAGCGCTGCGGACTGCGATGGGGCAGTCCAAAAGGCGCTGGAGAGCTATGGTGCGCTGGATATCTTGGTAAATGCCGCTGCAGGAGCGACATCTGGGGGGATCAATGACGATTCGATGTGAGTGGCTGATATATTTTCATAGTCCAATATCATTAGTGATGATGATATCACATTACTGTAAATATATAGTGATTAATCACATTAATAGTCATTAATAGTGATGAGTTGGGGATGAAGAATATCCAATATCAGCATCCTCTACCAATCATCATCCTATCTAATACTGTAATGATGAGTTGGGGATGATGAACATCCTATTTAATAGTGATGAATATTCAATTAATTAGAGGTGATTATATATATATATACATACTCATATATATATATATGTATATACATAAATCCAACAGTAGGGGATGATGATCGTTAATTACCGTTAATTGATTTCCTGGGATGAATATCCAATATCAGTATCCCCTACTAATCATCATCCTACCTATATAATAGTGATGACTTGGGGATGATGATGAATGATGATTGATTTATCCATTTTTTCTGTATAAGAATCCCCGAACAGATAGAAAAGTAACTCATTATTATTTTAGTAGGAAATCACTTTTTATATGTTTTTGGGTGGTTACTGTAACCATTGGAAATCGTGGTTGCATGGGATATTGATGAGATATGATGGGATATTGATATGACTAACCCCCAGTAGTCAATGGATAGGGCGACCAATTAATTAATCCCATTCCCCCAATATTCAACACCCCCATCGTATGGTCCCAAATATGTATTAAATAGTACGTATATTACCAATCACCCAGATATACCGAGTAATAATCCAATCCCTTCCCCCTAATGTCAAACACCACCCGAAAACCATGGCTTAGTAGGAGATCAAACCACATATTTGGGACCATACAATGGGGGTGACCCTGAGATTTTGCCTGGACTCTCAATGAGTGTTTGAACGATGCTGCTGATGGTGGCGATGATCATGGTGATCATGGTCAACCTTAAACCCTAAACCCTACACTTAACATAAACCCCAACAGCTTTATTGTATTGTTCCATGGGGGCGGGCGGGTAGTTTTGATTCTTCTCCAATAAGCGTTTGGACAATGCTGATGCTGTTGCTGCTGCTGATGATAATAATTACTATTATGATGATGTTGATGATGACAATCATTACTATTATTATTATGATGATCCATGGTCAATCCTAAACCCTAACCCTATCCCTAATGTAAACCTTTATGGTTACTTGTATTGTCCATGTCCATAACATGTTTGATAACGTACGTAATGTGTTTGTTAGCTTGGGCAAAGCTCAGGGTCTGTGTGTAATCCCGGATGGAGAATCATGGTGAATGATAAAGGTCATGGTAACCCTCAGCATGTTGAGAAAGATTCTCTTTGAAGAATGACAGGCACATGAACGTACATGAAAGTATTTGTTTTGATGTGAAAACATACTTTAATTCGAGTGATCCCATTCTGACATTCTTTCTGGCATTATATTTGGCATATACTCCGCCATTCTATCTTATATTCTATTTGGCATTCTATTTCACATTCTATGTGACATTCTATTTGGCATTCTATTTGGCATTCTATCTGACATATATTCTGACATATATTCTGACATATATTCTGACATTCTACCTGACATATATTCTGACATTCTATTTGGCATCTATCTGGCAGGTGGGGAAAAAGCATTTGACTGGTATTTTTTTTTTTGGGGGGGGGGGATACTATAAAATATAAAATTAAAGCAGTGAATTTTGCTCCAAACATCACAGGTGTGTGTAAACATATTTTCGGCATCAGCCACCAGGCAACTTTCTGGCGGCTGCAGAAGAGATATCGAGCAACGGTTTCAAAGCTGTTTCTTGACGCTGTGGACATGTGAGGAGTCTGGACCTGTGCGATGTTTTGTTGGTATCATCCGACTCACAGCCGTACAATCTGATTATGTCATGTCACTTGTCACTCATGTCATGTCCCTTTCCCGGTTTGTGGATGACAGTAACAGACGACGAAGCCATGGCAAACTCTCATTTCGCACACCAGAATCGAGAGGTGTAATTATTACATTTTGGAAAGCACATGGTATGCTTAGCCGTCCCCTTTCAATTTTTCCCATGTCAGGGGACATCCTTGGCGATTGACACGAATGGACACCAATGGCTTGACCCAGTCTTGAAAAATGGTGATTCAATGGTTTACGTTGAAGGAAACCATGGTGGTTTGCACCCCCAAATATATTTGTCGTGTTTTGTAGTTCCGTTTTTTTCAACTGTTTGTATCTAAAATTGAGTACTCCTGTTTGAATATGACAATTTGACTGGGCACCATGGTTTTCCAAACCATTCAATCATTGGAGTAAGGGCTATCCCTCCAGCAGAATGTCCAGGTCATGGAGATCGACACCCTTGGCACCTTCAACATGTGTCGGGCCGCTTTTTCAGCCCTGAAAGAATCGGCCTTCGGTGGCGTGGTGAGACTTGGAACTTGAGCGAATAGGATGGTGCTGGAAGGCTATAAATTTGCCTGGAAAATGACGGTCGAGATTTCTGACTTTTTTAAAGATGGTGAAGGACAACAGCATTTTCGGGTGCTTTATTTGTAAGGACAAATCTAGATGTGGAAGAAACTAAAGTAACTAAAGAGCCAGCTTAGCACAACCTCGAAACAGTCAAAGGTCCTGGTTCAAACACCAAATCCAACCACAATGCACCGAAACGAAATACGTATATATATATATATATATATATAGAGTCAGATAGTGTATATGAATACAATCAGCACCACATCCGTTTGTTTGAGATAGTTTGAGAAATTTGGGAGATATCAATCTCAATTCCAAGAAAACAAACTCTAGGAAATCAAATGTAACTCGTCCATAGGAGATGGTACACGATAAATTTATCCGATAAATAGGACTACAGCGAGCTGCGTATAGATCGCTGAAAGTTGGCCAATGGCACCTGGAGGTCCAATGCCGACGCCCTAGATGCGATCAATTGCCATGGTGCCATTCGCATCCATTCGCTGGATATATGAATTGGATTTAATTGGCTGGGAAAGGCTGAGTCACATACCCGAAGGCCTGAAACGCATCACACACAATTTTAGAGCAGAACGCTGACCACCAAAATTGCATACAGAGAACTTGCCACGGAGACCTCTCAAAGAGATCTTGTACAGAGAGCTCTTAGCAAAAATGTTGTACAAAGATCTTGCCAAGAGGTCTCTTACAGAGATCTTGTCAACGGAGCTCTTATAGAAAGCTTGCACAGAGATCTCTTCAAGAGATCTTGCCAAGAGACCTCTCATAGGGAGCTTGTACAAAGATCTTGCCAAGAGACCTCTTATAGGGAGCTTGCACGGAGATCTTGCCAAGAGACCTCTTAAAGAGATCTTGTACAGAAATCTTGCCAGGACACCTCTTACTTGTATGTCCTCTTATGGAAATCTTGTACAGAGACCTGTTGCAGAGATCTTGTCAAGAGGTCTCTTACAGAGATCCCGTCAACAGGGCTGCTATAGAGATCCTGTACAGAGACATTGCCAGGAGACCTCTTATAGAGATCTTGTACAGAGAACTGGTGAAGAGAACAGAGATCCTGCTCAGAGATCTTTTTGTAGAGAACTTGAACAAAGATCTTACTTCGAGATCTCTCACAGAGATCTCCTGTGGGGATCTCTTATAAAACTCATGGATCTCATGATCTATTGACAGTGCACCGGCAGGCTCGCGGGAAAATGTAGTTGATCAGAAAGTCAGTCCCCAACTCGGGGGCAATTGAAAGGGTTGAAGTAGATGGTAGTTACTTTTGTTGTTGGTGGTGGTTGTCATGCTGGAGATCCCGGAAACGGCTCGCGGCGCTGTCCCATCCAAGGACCAGTATTACTGCAACGTTGCACTACACTGCCACCTGGTACCAGACTGCACCTGCAGCTGCTAAGGCCACGCAGGGAGACTGGCAGCTGGCAGTTTCAGTTTCTCCAGAAGTCAGGAAAACCAAAGCCCGGATTTGGGGATGATTCCCCAGGACCCAAACAGTGTGTCCACACTGAGGGGTTCTTACGGTAGGTGTTAAGGCCCGGTGTTCAATCGAGGTGGTATCCGGGGCGTTTGGCATCTTCCGTCAATTTCCACACAAAATGCCTCTTGTGACATGTCCATGTGCATTTCGACTGCGCAAGCTCACACAAAATGCTTGCCCCGGGATTAGCCTCCGGCATTTTTCTTCTAAATTTCGGCACAAAATGCTTCTTGTGACATGTCCGTGTGCGTTTCGACTGCGCAGGCTCGCACAAACCGCCGGCCGCGGGAGAAGCGTCCGGCATTTTCCCTGCAAATTTCCGCACAAAATGCCTCTTCTGACATGCATTTCGATTGCGCAGGCTCGCGCAAGACGGGTGTCGCGGGCTTGGCGTCCGGCATCTCCCCTGTCAATTTCCACACAATGGCTCTTTTGAAATGTCCATGTAAATTTCGACCGCGCAGGCTCGCACAAAGTGTGCTTCCCGGTCTTGAGATCGGTTTTCCTCCCCAACAACATCCTCCTCAACATCATCATCTTCTTCGTCCTCCTCCTCAACATCCACATCATAATTTTCCTCTCATTCTCATCATCATCATCATCATCATCACCATCATCATCATCATCATCATATGATGATCATCATCGTCATCATCATCATCATCATCATCATCATCGTCACTACCATCGTCACTACCATCGTCACTATCATCGTCACTATCATCGTCACTATCATCGTCACTATCATCGTCACTATCATCGCCACTATCATCGTCACTATCACTATCACCATCACCATCACCATCATCATCATCATCATCATCATCATCATCATCAATATCACCATCATCAATATCATCTTCAACATTATCAACAACATTAACATCCTCACCAACATTATAATACATGATCTTTTTATCACCCCCCACACTGTTTGGGGTCTCTTGCCGGGATGATTTTAATAGGTATTATTCCGGCTGGGGTGTAATTAATTGTGTCACTGTGTAATCCCAACAGTTTCAAGGTGCAGAACAAAGAAACAGGTACAACTAATTGGGAGATTCTCAGCGTGTCATTGAATGATATTGGGAATATTTTGTTGACCGGTGAAATTATTCCAGGGGAGTTGACAAGATGATGCAGGCTGCAATTGATGCGATGACCAGAGCCTTGCCAAGCAGTCTGGCACACCAGTTTTCAGTTGCCTGTTCCTTGGTAAACTTCGCCACTTCCATTGGCCCATACAGTGTTGAATTTGCTAAGAGTCATCTTGCATGCCTGCGAATTCCGATCTGGTCTGTTTTATTGTCTGCTGCAGTTCGGTATTTTTTTTGGTGATCCATGCGTTATTCCTGGCGGATCACAGGGGAAACCGAGGAAATTTGGCGTTGGAATGGGGTGAATTTGGCATCCGCTGCAACTGCGTAGCGCCAGGGCCCATCGCTGACACACCAGGTTTAGAAAAACTCAGTGTCTTGGTTGCTCATAGCCATATGTTCCATGTATGGAAATTTTACCCACATTTATATATAAACAAAAAATAGGTAAACATATGTTAAATATACCATCCATGTTTGGCATCTGGGATAGCAGACAACCATGTTTGATCACTTTTCATCATCATGTTTGAAAGAGCGGCCTAAAAAATCCACGGCCAAAGCTGGATCATTGGGTCCCAAGGTGGTGGCAAAGCCGATCAAATCTCTTGGGATCACATTCCTGTAAGGCGTGGATTGATACGTGGGGTTATCTGAAGGGAATACCGGAAGACCACAATTTCACGGCTATTTCAGCAGTAAAAAATCATGATAAACCCATGGGACTTGGGATTCCCCATTTGAAACAAAGCTAGAGACTGCGAATAGACTGAAATCACCTATGAGCTGGGACTGTGGAAACCACACCAAAGCAGCAAACACGACAGGATGTGTCCCCATCCAAAAGGGGCACAGTGGGAGTTGATGCTAAAACAAGGGGCTCCACGCATGAGCTGTTCTGCGCTTTTGAAGGCAAATTCACAAGGTTTCGCACCACAGTGACTGTGACATGTTGTTAAAGAAAAATGGTCCAGACCAAATTTTGCTCAGTCTCATCCTGCTTAATTCCATCTATAGATATCTATAGACTATAGACTATAGATTGTGATATAACAACTTATGGTTTCTCCCTGATCATCCCCAGTCTGGTTCCGTGTCCAGGCGAGCAGGCACGAAGGCAGAGATTGCCTCTGCTTGCATCTATTTGTCGTTGAACCGCCTCTCGGTTTGGGCTCACGAGGATCTCAGTTGTGCTGTAAGTACTTGGTGCAGAAAAGTGATAAAAGGTGAACATTCGAAATTTGCAACTTCGAGGTGCAGTGAGGCTTATCAGAAACCCAGCCTCTTTTTCTGATTTTTGAATGGTAACATATCTTGGTCAATGGAGAGTCTTGTCCAAGGCTATATTACTGGACAAATTTTGCCCGTGGATGGCGGAGAGTGGTTTGGAAAGAAGCCCATGATGCCACGCGAGATGGTGTCGAGGGCCTCAGAAAGCCTCAGCACTTCAATAACTCTAGGGTTGGGCCAGAGGTGTATATCTATAGATATCTATAGTTTTCATGGGGTTCATAATGGTTCATAATGGTTCATAATGGTTCATACTGGTTCATACTGGTTCATAATGGTTCATAATGGTTCATAATGGTTCATACTGGTTCATACTGGTTCATAATGGTTCATAATGGTTCATAATGGTTCATAATGGTTCATACTGTTTCATAATGGTTCATAATGGTTCATAATGGTTCATACTGGTTCATACTGGTTCATAATGGTTCATAATGGTTCATAATGGTTCATACTGGTTCATACTGTCAACATACTGGTTCATAATGGTTCATAATGGTTCATAATGGTTCATAATGGTTCATACTGTTTCATACTGGTTCATAATGGTTCATATGGTTCATAATGGTTCATACTGGTTCATATGGTTCATAATGGTTCATATTAAGCAACTGATAACTGGGGGTACCACCCTGTACCAGATCATACAAGTATATAGAAGTTTTATTGAGAAATTCTTTCCAGGAAAAAAACGTGCTAGCCAATGCAGCCTTGCTACAAACTGTGCGTTGGATTTGATAGGTGCTTTAGACTATGTGACGCAATCGAATGCTACCGACTGATCCCTGTTCAATTTCCCCTACTAAAAGGGGGCCTCATGGGGCCTCAAAACCCCTGAAGAAGGATGCATTTTGTTGAGAGGCCATTTTGGATGGTGACCCACTTCCATTGTGAATGATGTTTGAAGAGGTCACAATGTCGGTAACGTGTTTTCCCTTGAGTCTCATGGTGGCCGTAAAGGGGGTCTGCTACTTGAACATTTATATTCGTTGGGGAAGTTAGGTCCCGTTGAAGGAGTTGACCCATGTGGTAGACGGCCCTTATTTTGTGTTCCTAAGGCTGTCCCCGACCCCTCCGAGATTTCAGGGCGGATACAGAATTATAATGAATCATAGAGAATGATCAAATGAAACTGGAAGATACTGGAAAAAATTGAAGAACCGTTTTCTTTTTTCTTTGCTTTTGGAAATTCAGCACCCAATTTTGTGCTTCCCTTGGCCCCGAGGTCCAAGATCTCCCGAGGAGTCGAGAAACAGTCTCGCTCCATGGGTGCCAAATTGTAAGAACATACAGGGCCTATATAAATTACATGGAAAATCAGATGAAAATCATGGAGTCATGGAAGAAGCAGCACAAAAACACCATGAAACACCACCAGGGCACCAGTTTTCAGTCGGTTTTGATGGATTTTAAGGATGATTTTGGGAATGGAGATGCTGGAAGAAGGAGCAACTTGGAGGAAATCTCCTCACAGCTGATTTCAACGGCTGTTCGTTTGCTCCGGAGATGTGTACATAATGTGTACTCTGAATTGAGCGACAGGGTCCAACGATGGTCGATTGGACCTTGGGGTGATCCTCTTGTTTTCCCGGTAAACAACGTGTAGTTTGAAGATGTTTGAAGGATCATAGCTTGGAATTGTACGACTATTTGTGACAATGGTTTGTGCATTAGAGTTCAGAGTGCAAACATAATGTTCATCCGAAGCACAAACCAAATCGTGCTGAATAGTTTTGAGCAGGTATTTAGCGCGCGCAAAGTCAAGAAAAGAGCCTGTTGACATGAACCACCAAAAAACAATCAATGATTCAAGGGACATGTCATTGCACACGTGTCCACTCTGGTGCAGAGCGAAGAAGAGCAGGCGCACCTATCCAACATTCTACTTGATATACGGTGGCCCCAAAGATTATGTCAATGGGTTTGTGCTTGCTTGCACCTTCACTTGTTTGCCAGCAGAATATTGTTGACCCAAATGAACTATTTTTTTGAATTGAATTTGTGGTCAGCCAGTTCAAGCTTTTGTTCAGCTTCCCTGCTAAGGCGTGAAGATAAGCCGTTTGCCCAGTCAACAGACCATGCACCAGCCATCGCTGCATCACTATGTTATCGAATCTATTGTCTATATATCATTGCAGTATTGCAACTGTTCTGACATGTTCTGACGGGTTTCATTTGCTCAAACATGTTTAAATCAACCAAGAATCAGAGAAAATCAATGAAAATCAGTTTTCTCATGTTTTGTCCAGAGTTGTCTTCTAAGTTTTCCCATAGTTCCCCATGTTTTCTCCCTTTTTTTGGTGGACCTTTGAATCCACGAGGAACAAATGGGAGCGGCGTGCTCCGTTGGCTCCACGACATGTGGCAGAGCTGCAGAGACAAGGCGACTCAGCGAGTCGTCACGTCGGATATACATCACATATATATATATATACATCATATATATATATATACATCATATATATATACATACAGTATATATATATATCATATATATATATATATATCATATATGATATATATATATATATGATATATATGATATATATATATATATTATTATTATATATATATATATTATTATATATATATTATATATATATTATATATTAGATATCATATATATCATATATACCATATATATGATATATATGATATATATATATAATATAATATAATATATATATATATCATATATATCATATAAATATATATCATATATATGATATATATGATATATATATATATGATCATAAGATCAATATTAACTGATCTTATGATCATAGTATGATGATAATATGATCCTGATGCTTTTTACGCTGTAACTTCCATACGCAGCTGCAAGAGCAAAGTGCCTGCGAGATGCTTCCTATAGTCTAACCAAAGCAGCAAAGTACAAAAACATATAAAAAGCATAGTGTCAGTGAGATGCGCCCGCCCCATGAGCAAGCAGCAGCCCCTAAGGAGCTTCTGCGTTGCAAGTGCAACGCAAGGGTGCAAAACCCTTACCAAGACAGATGCTAGAAAGATCGACAAAAAGCAGCACAAAACTCTGAAATAAGTATATATACCCAAATGCGGCCCACTTGTCCGCAGATGCTGAATATGTCCATGGCATTTCCAGATGTTGGCACTATTTTTTCGCTTAAATCCAACATCGGACACCATCGATAACCCAGTAAAGAACCCGGTCAAAAAAACAAACATATCAATTCCGAGAAGCCGTCCCGCACCAGAATTGTATGACACTCCAAACATGAGTATTCAACATGTATGTTAGGTTTTTGACATCAATCATGTGATTCGTATATATTTGTATAGTATGTGTATACATGTGCAAACATGTATCCTATTATATAAAACACTATCAAATATCATAAATTATTACATTGATATATCGTATGTAAAAATATGTAACAATTACATATAATTACGATATCAACTTGAGGATCACTATAGTATATATCTATATCTATCTATATATATATATATATTTGTGTTTTTTTTATTATTGTATTATAAGGGGACAATATGGGGTACTGCACGAAGGGATTGTTTTTAGCTGGTACTTCAGGACTCAAAGTGGTGGTGCAGCCATGCACACGGAGAGTCTTTACAGACGAGGAGTATGAGGACTGTGACATACTGTGACCACTGTGGCCCATTTGGTGAACACTGGGATGATCGGTGAAGATAGATCCAGCTATGGCTGATTCACTTTATTTGGAGATCATTTTCAGCATGATTTTCTGGGAAACATATATATACTATAATATATACTGTATATAATACATCAACTAACATCACTCTGCAACCCACGCAGTTTTTATATGTTGCAGCCTGTTGAAAACATGCTATCCGATATCCTTCCCTGGATCTTGGGAGGTTGATAGGATTCCCGTTTCCATTACAAGGAGTTCGTTGATGTTTTCGAAGCGCGTATGGATTTGTTTGGAATGAAGATTGCTGAATTGAATTTGCACAATGTTTTTCTTTCCTGGCACGGGGTACCCCAATTCGTGGCCAAGATCAGGTCTTAAACATTCTCAGCCATTTTTGCCCTTGCACAGGAAGCTGGTGCTGAGGAAGGGTGGGGGGTGGCCACTGCAAGGCATCAGGAATTGCCGATTGTTCGAAGGAAAACCCACAGTAATGTTGCTTTTACTGTAATCCGTTGAACTTTCAATGTTCTTTAATTTTAATCTAAAGTTTAGATCACTTTAGGTGCCCGGACTCCTCAAAGATCCAAAATGCCATGATTCCTCGTCCTCAAATGAGTGGAATTCGCTGAACGCGCGAACTTGAGAAGAGCATCACATCCAGTTTCCGTCGCAGTTCCCCTGTTCCAGGAGATATAAATCACAGAT